CAAAATGTCTGGCAAGAACACATTGTTCAATTACTTCCAGAGATCTCCGGTCACTCAACTCAGTCCTTCAAATCCGAAGAAGATCAATGAGACTCCTGATAAGTCCTCTGAGAAAAAACGCAAAGCGGACTCTGTTCTAAAGGCTAGAGATGATAACCAACCGAAGACCCCAACCAGTCGACGAGGTTCCTCTAAAACTCCAGCGAAAGGTTTGCATTTTCATTAGATCTGAAGTTCGTCTGGCAGAAAAAACCCCGTATCATAGGGAGTGAGGGATCCCATGGACCTCCCCCGGCTCAGGGCTCTACTCATTGTAAATCTTGAGCTTTTGCAATTGCTGTAGACAATGGACCACTAGACAAGGTACGAATTTAAGCATTCTGTTACATGTTTCATTACCAGAATTTCATGAAGAACACGATTTGCGCAGCGAAAATTATTGAAACCAATTCCTAATGGAGATATTCACATTTTCATTTCACATTGGTTACGAGGAATTTGAACCACCCGCTCACAAGAAACGGGAAGCTCTACATGAGTCAAATCGCGCTCTACAACAGTTTCAGCAAGCTTCTCAATCGAGCAATGTTCATTTCCGACCATGTGTTTTTCAAACTATAAGTAATTTGCTATAGTTTAGCCAAAGCTTCAAGATTGAGGTTGCCAGAATTTTTTATCGCATAGACGTTGATGATAACGATCAGAAGCGATGTGAATCACGTAGAGCATTGAGTTTTCATGAGCCAGTGGTTTCAATTCACCCACCAAGAATCACAAAATATGTTAGGAAGGAGTTGATTTTGGTAATTTTTGTTGTGCGTATCGTTTTTCACATGAAATTTTGGTGAAGAAACATGTATCAGAATGCTGAAATTCGTACCTTGTCTAGTGGTCCATTGTACCCCTGAAACACCTGGGGTCTGCAAAACAAATAGCAAGAAATGAGATATGAGTACGACCAGAGGGGCATGTGAAACTGTGAAGGAGGCCCTCAAACTTGGATAAAATGCAATTATCATGCTTACCTGTGAGGTCCCGAGATTGAGTAAATTAACAGCATGGTCGGCACCCAAAGAACGTTGGAGCAAACTTGACCCTACTGAGCCTCTGCTGTAGGATAAAAGTCCTGTTTGCACCCCCTCTGACCGGTCGAGCCACAGCCCATGAGCTGCGCTGACTAGCGGAGAGGGTGGCTTGCCGTCACGCACGTACCTACTTGAAGTTGAGCATGTGTGTTAGACTCAAGGGAAGTTTAGATGTTGAGTTGTACAAGCGAAATTCTCTTGTCAACTGTCAATTGGATGGCATTTTGCCAAAAGGAACCAAGAGCACTCTAATGTTGCTAGGATTGTGCAACCGAAATTCTTTGCTATAAATTACTGAACTGGTGCACAAATTTAAATTTACTAAGGTAATTTTCGTCTTGAATTTATAGCTTACTGGGAGTAAGAATAAAACTTGTTAAGATAATCAGTTAATATTTGCAAGGTATAAAAAGTTGCATCTTGAAATGCTCCTGGTTCCTTTTTGTGATATGCAACCCAATTCTTGCTACAATTTTATTTTACCAAATCTGAACTTGGAACTTAGATGAAGGTGATTCATCAAGGTTTCTGATGTGTTCGAAAGGGCATGTGATACTTCGCACCAACCATGTCTAAAGTCATGGCAGATTTTGAAATTTTAGCCAGTAAAAGGGTGGTAGCCTCTGGGTATGAGCCTTAAGCATCATTTTCAATCTACAAATCTGCAAAATTAGAGAAATGAAAGTAGAATCCTGTTCGGCATAAAACCTCGCATTCAATTCAAAAATCACCAATTGTATCAAATGAGAGGTTTTTTTCCAAACAGGGGCATATTACTGGAACCTTAACCAAAGATTCACACAGAGATTTATCATCTATTTATTATTATTGTGATATTCTATAAGTTTATTCTACTGCACATGCCTCATGCTTCTTAGCTTGTTACTGAGGCCTCTTCGTAATTCTTTTTCTCCTTGTCATTCCAGAGAAAAAGAGAGTCAAACTAGAAGAAGATGAAGAGGTGGAGGATGAAGTAACTCCTGAATTAAAAAGGAGAAAATTGGATATTCCAGATGAGGATTCTGGAGATGAATTTGTACCAGGTAAATTTGCACTATTTTGGACCTAGAAATTGTGGATTGTCTAAGTTCAGAAAAGTACAGAAAATTTTTCATACATGATAGCAAATTCGATTTTAAACTTTGTCATAGAATAGTTACCTAATCGTACGAAAAAGCAAATTTTTAGCATGTATTGCACAATTTGATAACTTCGGCAAAGTCAATTCAAGTCAAAGAATAAAAATTCTGATGTCGCTTGCCAAGTAAGGTATGCAGCTGTTGAACTATGCATTCTTAACTTAGAATACACTGCAGAAGTTGTATTATCCACTAAGTGCGAACAACGTGTTTTTTTGCACGATTTGGCAACTTATTTCAGGCATACAGGCTGTAAGCTACAGTCCACTTTTAGCTCAGAACAGTGATTGTTAGAATTTCAAAGTAGTTTTTGAGGTAAACTCAGAATTTGAAGTTTAATTTCAACATTTTTCCCCACCAAATTGCCCAATGAGCTTGTTCAGCAATTCGTAATTCTTGCATTTTTGGAAACTAGAGAGTGCACA